GACCTCATCGGGACTTGAACCCGCGACCTTCCGGCTTGTAGCATAGTGCTACCGCGTGCCACATTCCTTGTGGTACCAATCACATATACAGAGTTATTGGTTTGAAACTTATCCAAATTATTAACATCAAATGTCATCAATGATAGTAAATATACACGTGGGATTGGTAGTATGTCAAGCTTTTTAAATAGATCTCTACATGTATGAGTTGGGCCCACTCCCATCATTATTCTTATTATTTTCTTTTGTATAACAAAGACCTTACGAATGTCTGATGTATTTCCCCAATATNATATTATTCCATATTTCACCAATGAATGACAATATGCATAATATACAGCTTCAAGACTATTTATATTTAATACTAGCTGTACCCGGCCACGCGTTGCTGTGGCTCAGTCTAACGAAATCGACACAGCCTCTGTTGTCTATCACCGGGGAAGCGCTGCCAGAGNTACCAATCACATATACAGAGTTATTGGTTTGAAACTTATCCAAATTATTAACATCAAATGTCATCAATGATANTCTCTTATGATACTTGTGACCTCGTGATACTCGAGACACTCGTGATACTGAACAGTCGCCGGACCTACACTCTCTTATACATATAGCCAGCGGTCGAACGGGATAATGAATACCTTATCGAAGAGTTAGATTCATCTGTTGCTTAGGAAATGCTAGCACAGAACACCTTGTAGAAGTGTTTGATTTCATCCGTTGTTACGCAACGGAACCTCTTATCTTCTCATCTCCGGGGAAACGCGTTTGTTTTTTCGGCAATTCGTATGCAACGGCCCACTGTTATTGAGTTTCCATGGAAGTATATTTCAGGTTTCATCCGTTGTTACGCAAAGGAACCTCTTATCCTATGCAACTGCTCTAGCGTTACTATGGAAAGGACTGCTGGATTCGGAACATGTGACAGGTTTTTACCTGTTTTAACCTGTCACAGGTGTCTATATACTAGGTACATAAAAAATCGCGCGTATTCGAATGCAACGTTGTGTCAAAATTTCAAAGCAATCGGTGGAAAACTTTCGGAGATTTTCGTACAGGGACAAACGAACATTTACATTTTTATTTATATAAAATATAGAATAATTTTCGCACTAGAAAACAAACTGTGTTCAACATGTGAAGCAAAAAATCGGTATGTCCCTTACAAGTCAGATGATTGGCCAGCTGCAAACCGAGAAATTTTATCATTTTTACTCCTTTCAGCTTTTTGTTAATAAATTGTAATAATACACCATGCTACCGGGGTACGGCATATGCTGCCATGGAGCCCAGGCTCACTCAGTAAAAGTGTAGAATATTATCCCACCCACACTTCACGCCGCTTAACAATACACACACAAACACAGAACGCACACAACCATCCGTATCGATCCGTATATCCACGATTAGACTTGCACGCGAGCGCACTCGAGTCATAGCGATCATAACGAACATAGCTATCAAAACCATCATAACGATCAGTATTTTTTTCGTTACTAGGGTGTTTATTGTCGGAGTTATTAATGCAAGTCGGCTTTTTAAGCCACGCCCGTAAACTATGGAGCAGTTACCAGCAGTAATTAGCGTGTTGCAAAAGTTCGTTGCTGGGCTACGCGTGCAGAGTGGTAGTAGCATGATAGGATAAATGGATGGAGGTGTGGATGTTGGTGTTGAAGTAATAGCACATGCTGAATAACGTGAATCAGATTGAATTGAAATGTATACCCACAGTCGTTGTCATTTTGATGTTGTACTTTACTTGTTACTCATTGGAATGTCCAATTTAGTCACGTGTAAGTTACAGTATCTTTATATAATAACCATAAATGCTCTGGAAGTAGCCACTCCCCATTGTATATCTGAGGTTACCTGATTAAGTATGAGAGCATAATAATATAATGATAACTTAAATTGAAGTAATAATATCTTTTGTGGGGATAGAAGGAGGGGTATATATCCTAGTGAATTTGTGGCCTTGTTGCAATGTAAGGTAAAGTGATAAGTGTTTCAAAGACAATAAGCATCAGTAGCAAAAATGAAGTGGGATTCAGAGGTTGACAGTATCGTTTGATAGGAATTTGCCTGATTAGTGGCCATAAACAGTGCCAATTAACTCATTTCATGTTGATTCTTGGATGACATTTTCCACTTTTCCCTGGAGAGAGTGTAGAAAAGGTTCAGTGCTCTAAAAAAATTAAAGATTTGTGTAGCTATACTAACATAATTCTGTATGGCATTGATATCTGATTTCAGTTTCCATTCTTTAGCAAGATTTTCTATTTCTCTGAAAGCTGCCTGCTGAATCATGTTTTAATCCCTGTTGTAAATTATGTGGTATGAGCAAACTGTCTGTCACACATTAAATTCACACCCTAAAGTTGCACTATGGGATTATGCAGTTTAATGGTATTTCAGGAAACTTAGTTGTATAGTTATGTTTTGTTCCTTCTTTTACAAGATTTTAAATACTGATAGTGATAGTAGCTGTTACATAGGAATTTTCTGTTCTAATGCGTGCAAGTGCTGAAATTATTGTGTATAATGCGGTCTTGCAATGTTGAAGTGTCATTCCATGTGAAATCATCCAGAAAGGTCGCTCACCATTTTTTAAAAAAATAAAAATTTGTACACTTATTTCTACATATCTTCACACCACAAAAAAATGTTAAAAAAAATTGTGATCTGCTCGATTCACCCGGTACAGCCGTTTTTATAATGCGAAAAAACGCGTTTTCCGCTCAAATTGAGGTTTGCGTTATCTTCTGTATCTCGATAACTATTGAAGCTAGAGACTCCAATAAAAAACCAATTTGTTCCTCATGATATGGACAATAAATCATATCATTACAAGGTCTTACTCAACTCAATTCCTCTAGGTGTACTTAAGCTTGAAACTTACCTATCGATTTTGGAAAAAACGCAATTTTTGACCTTCAGAAACCAATGGGAGGGGGAAAGTATCAGATCTATGGTTTCTGCCCTTTGTTTTATCATACATGAAGAATATAATCACATAGTTTTGAACACCATACCTATTTTCCAAAATTTTCCAGGAGCTTCTAACCTTTGCTCTGGGCCCCAAATCGGCCATTTTTAACATCTCATATCTCCGGTGGAGAAGCTTCGAAAATGTTGAATAGTGAATAGCAAATAGTGCACTATTCTAGAGCAACTTGAAGTTAAAATTACAACTTTTATATTCAACTAATAGCGAAGTTCCTATAATGCGAATAAACGCGTTTTCGGCTCAAATGGAGGGTTGCGTTATCTTCCATATCTCGATAACTATTGAAGTTAGAGACTCCAGTAAGAAAGCAATTTGTTCCTCATGATATGGACTATAAATCATGGCGTTACAAGGCTTCACTCAACTCACTTCCTCTAGGTCTAATTAAGCTCGAAACTTACCTTTCGATTTTGGGTGAAACGCTATTTTTGACCTTCAAAAACCAGTGGGAAGGGGAAAGTATCAGATTTGTGGTTTCTACCCTTTGTTGTTTCCTACATGGGGAATATAATCACATAGGTTGAACCCCGTACCTATTTTTCAGAATTTTCCAGGAGTTTTCAAACTTTGCTCTGGGCCCCAAATCGGCCATTTTTAACATCTCATATCTCCGGTGGGGAAGCTTCGAAAAATTTGAACTTCATAGCAAATAATGCTCTATTCTAGAGTAACTTGGAGTTAAAATTACATCTTTGATATTCAAGTAATAGCGAAGTTGTGGGCACTTTAAATTTTACATATTTTGCAGAAAATTCTTCGTTTCTCGTTCAAGACGAGATTCAAAGTTTTCACTGGGTAAATCAACAGGCTACACTTCACCGTTTTGTGTATTACTACAAGGCAGACACTATAAGAAAATGCCCAAGCTTGTGTATAATCAGTGATCATGTAAAGCACGATAGAGCCACAGTTTGTGTGTTCCAAAAATTTCTTATCGCCGATGTAAAAGAAAATGTGCCTTCAGCCAGGAAAGTTATTTATTTCAGTGATGGCGCTGGAAGCCAATATAAGAACAAAAAAAATCTTTCCAATTTATGTCATCACTATGAAGACTTCGGACTTGAAGCAGAATGGAACTTCTTTGCCACCTCGCACGGGAAGAATGCTTGTGATGGCATTGGCAGCACCATGAAGAGGCAAGCAGCGAAAGCCAGTCTTCAAAGAACTCATTTTAATCAAATCATGTCCCCGCTAGAACTGCAAATATTCTGCACAGAAAATATCCCAGGAATAGTTTACTTTTTTGTGCCAAAAGAGGAAGTTGCAAGAAATGAAATCATTCTAAAAAGCATGTTCCGAAAGTGCAAAACTGTGCTCCACATAGGAGAAAAACACCGGGTCGTCCACCTGGAGGAAAATACGGTCATGTGTTATAAAACATCCAAGACCGATGACGTTGAAGAATTCGTGATAGTGGACACTTACTGAACTACGTGTACTTTCAAACAAACTGGAAAATATTCATTTGAGNGGAGACGTACCATGGTGCATTTGCTACCATTCTCAAGATCTTGGACTGGCTTCTTTGGATTATTGTTATATTTGATTTGCTGGAGCATCCCCATAGCTCCAGGCCATACGTCCAAATAGGTATAATAATGGTCTTGTAAATCAGAATACGCTAGTATTTGAATATAAAAGTTGTTTTTAACTTCAAGTTGCTCTAGAATAGTGCACTATTTGCTATGAATTTCAAAATTTTCGGAGGTTCTCCACCGGAGATATGAGATGTTAAAAACGGCCGATTTGGGGGCCAGAGCAAAGTTTGGAAGCTCCTGGAAAATTTTGGAAAATAGGTATGGTGTTCAAAACTATGTGATTATATGCTTAATGTAGGAGAAAACAAAGGGTAGAAACCACAGATCTGATACTTTCCCCCTCCCATTGGTTTTTGAAGGTGAAAAATAGCGTTTTTCCCAAAATCGATAGGTAAGTTTCAAGCTTAATTACACCTAGAGGAAGTGAGTTGAGTAAAACCTTATAATGATATGGTTTATAGTCCATATAATGAGGAACAAATTGGTTTTTATTGGAGTCTCTAGCTTCAATAGTTACCGAGATACAGAAGATAACGCAAACCTCAATTTGAGCCGAAATCACGTGTTTTTTCGCATTATAAAAACGGCTGTACCGTGAGAACCAAGCGGATCACACTTTTTTTATTTTTTTTTGAGGTCTGAAAATATGTAGAAATAAGTGTACAAATTTTGAATTTTTTTAAAAATGGTGAGCGACCTCTCTGGATGATTTCACATGGAATGACCCTGAAGGAACTAGCATAAAAAATTGTTAGTGTGATGGCTAGTTATGTGACCTTTTTTCATAGTGGTATTATAATATAATTAACATGTCTTTAGTTGTACTTGTACTCTGATCTCTGATATAACACGACAGATAACTTCACGCCTTATTGGATATAGCGAATTTTATTTCACATTCGCTCTTACAATCACACAGTTCACAGATTCACAATTACTGCTATCTGCAGTATTACAATTACTAGACTGCAAATGCTAGACTACAACTGACTGGTTGACTGCATGGCTAACTCGTAACTGTAACTGCCTTGAGAACTCGTTCACTGCTCACTTGAGAACTCTCTTCGGCGGCTGTGTAGTTCCCTTATAAACCCTCAGCCGGACAACGGGAAAACAATTACATAATAGGCACCACTGTTGTCTGGCGCCGTGTTTACAGGTGTTACTGGCAACTCTGTCGGGAGTTGTTTACAGCTGCATAGCAACCGCGGCATCCCTTGGCCACGTCACCGCTTGCGGGGTAGGGGAAGGAGTGTTGACTTGCTCTCTACCCTAGTAACGACAGCGCTCCGATGGTGTTACATCACCGCTGGTGGGGGGAGGGGTGTCCTGCATAGCACAGCACGTCACAATATGTTTTGTTGTACCCAGATTTTCTTTTATATGTATCTTTTGACTTGCTGAATTGGATAATATGTTAATTTAATTTATTACACTGTGTTAGATTTGTGCTGGGATCTACTATGTGTAAACAAAATAGTTTTGATTGATAATTTGTTTGTCTATGATGTTATTATGAGTGGTACTAAGGAGGCTCAACTATATATAGTTGCCATAATTTAGATGTTTTGTTGTTGCTGCTGTGCCTTGTGATGACCTCCTTTATACCTCCTTTATAAAGAGGAGGTTTGTGCCTAGAAGTAGTGCTTGGGAAGGAGCATCTGCCAAGTTGATGGTGGAGGGAACACCCAAGTAGTGCAGGTTTTGTCAGCTGCACAGAGCACATACTATTGAATGGCAGGATGATTTTGAATTATAAAATGGAAGAGATGTGGAAGAGAACAGCCACTGTCTGTTATAATGTACTCTCCCAGTATTGTGCTTTGCGGGGACTAAAGATTTCAGTTAGTGTTTTTTTTTTTTTTGAGGGCAAGGGGTTGATATTTGAAAGCAGGACTTCTGTAATGTGAAGCAGGAATACTAACTGCTACACTGTTTGTTGGTATAAAGTTGAGTTAATCTTTATAAGAGCATCTCTATAAGGAGGGTACAGTATACTCATACTTCATATAAATCTCTAATTGTTTTTGTGTTACTTTTTTTAGGTTCAGTTTACAAAAATTTGAAGCACTTTGAGACTCTCCATACTTCTCAATTTAGCCACAGTATTGTGAAGAGAGGAATCAAGCACAGTGATCACCCCTTCAATAAAATAAGGGAAGTGGCCTTCAGTACCCTTGGAAGGTAACTGCAGTGAAAGTAAACAGTGAAGATGATATTTGATTTGAAATTATTTAAGTAGGAATAGATTACTGATATAAAATCATACTCATCTTTTGTTTTCAGAGACTTTCGTTTAATTCTTACTCCAAAGAAGGGCATTTTTCATTCCAAATTTAAGGTTTTCACAGTAGATGGAGATGGTCGAGAAAAGCCTGTATTTGTTGGTAAATACCATTTTCTGTTATGTATGTTATGAAGCATTTTTCACGGGTTTAAAGTTGAATTCTCATGTGCAGTACTGTTCTTTAAGCATGATATGTATAGCTGAATGAAAATAACTTAATTGATTTGTGTAGATATATGACAGGTGTAACACATTTTTGTATGTATGTATGAGGGGGTACCCAAAAGAAACCAAACTTATTTTTTTAACTTATTTATTCAAATTTTAAGCACAAACCTTCAATCCCCTTCAAAGTACTCTCCACTTACACTAATACACTTGTCTAGTCTTTTATTCCATTTTTCAAAATTGTCTAAATTTGAGATGCTTGACAGCGCCTCCGTCATTTTTTTCCTTCACCTCAGCAACATCAGCAAAACGCTGAAAAAAAGTTTTGATCATTTCGGGACTCTTCTTTCAAAGCACAGCATGCTTCCACACGACCTTGTTTTTGTTCAACAGTCAGCAGTCGTGGCATGAATTTCGCAGCCACCTGTTTCATTCCCAAATCTTCTGTCAAAATTCGCTGAACTGAGCTCCAAGTCACTCCCGACAGCTCCACAATTTCTTCAATGCTCAGTCGTCAATCTTCCTTGATGATTTCACGAATTTTTTTCAACATTTTCATGTGTTCGGGCCATTGCAAAAACGACGATCACACAAAACAGTTGTCACTATAAACTCTGCCGAAACTAGTCCTTACCTTCTGAAGCAACGGTAGTCGGCTTATCGACTCAGGAATGTTAGCTCTATGCGCTCATAGTGGCAAAACGCGGTACTACAAAAGCTTTGCCCACAAAAAAATTAGTTCGGTTTCTTTTGGGTACCCCATCGTAAAATTATTTTATTTATTTATTTGTATATACTTGATTTAACTGTGTTTTAAGATGCTGAGACTATATAGTGTCAAATTATAGAATTATTAGTGAATAATGAATTGTAATGGAAGGAAATGATCATGGTTTTATTTTGTGTATTATCCTGGAATTTGCTTGGTGAGATTAACAAAACCCACAAAAATCTCAGTTAGGATGCTCAGTCTCCAGGCTGAAATTTGAATCCAGGTTCTTCAGAATACAGAGCAGGAGTGCTAACTACTCATCTACACTATTTAATGTGTTTCCTTGTTGTATGCTACCTTCTAGTCTCATAGATTTCTTTCTGAGTAAATGGATATTGTAGCGCAGTTCTTAAATTCTTATAAATAGCCATATATAGGAAATATGTAGTAGTAATTTTTACATTTAATTAAATTTAGCTTAGTTGCAAATTTTATTGTTTACATAGGGATAGCCCAGTTGGTGTAATAACAGGCTCCAGGTTGAATAGCTAGCACTTGATTTGTGGGAGGGGTAAGAGATTCTTCTACACAGTGTCCAGACCAGCCCTAGCATCCACCCAGCCTCCTATCCAGTGGATACCAGGGGATTCCCAGGGGTAAAGCAACCAGGACATGAAGCTGATCACTCACCTCCATCTAGTGCTGAGATCGAGAGTGTTGGAGCTATGCGTTCACTCCCTCCCACATCTTCATGGTGTGGTGCTTAATTAATTAAGCACCTAAACAGCTTTACCTTTTATATATTCATCAAAATTTTGATGAATAAGGTATGTTAGAGAGCTGTTGCAGCCCAGTTGTTCTTCTGCCTAGCCAGTAATTAGAAAATAATAGAGGTTTTGATTGTTCAGGTACACCTCGTATGTGAATTTTGTGACCTTTGATAGAACTCAGTGGGATCTCTTATAGTACTTGTTACAGTTGCAGTGTAGGGAACTTGATTAATGCACTAATAATTGTCAGAGTAAATTAATCTAATGGGTGAGAGGCGAAAGAATGCATCTAGATCCCATATGTGGAGACATAAAATGTCAGTTTTTTTATTCATGCAGGTTGATGTATACATTGTTTTGATAAAACTTGTGAACCACAGTGATGGAAACACAGTTTTTCTTCTGTCTGTAAATTCACAACATAAAAACGTTTGGCTTTAACTTTCTTCTTGAGTGAAGATTCTATGCTCTCTTCTTTTTTTACATTGAACCACAAAAAATAAATCAAAGGTTCAATAATGTCAAAGTGTTCTGAATTTCTTCAGATCATGAAGATTTTTATGATGGCCGATTGTTTGGAGAGGTCTCATCTGATGCAAGAGTCCATTTAGAAGATGGTGTTATGACTGCAACTATCTATACCCCAGAAGAGATGTATCATATTGAGGTAATTATTTTGCAGTATATGCGTGTAATTAATGTTGGCCCCTCTTCGTACTATGACTGCCTCCTGTGCATACACACCGAGAGAGCAGGTATGAAAAGTGTAGCCTTCTCTTAATATGTTACACATACAGTGGAACCTTGCTTAACAAGCACCTCTCATAACGAGCCAAACAAATTGTAAAAAAAATGACTTGCTTAACGAGCGATGTTTGGCATAACGAGTGATGAGAGGGGAAGTCCTGGATTATGCGCTTGCTGCATCAGTCTGTGTTTAGCACTTGTTCCGCTAGCATCTTAGTGTCGCTTGTGATCACACATTTTTCCAAACTTGTGTTCAGACATATTATTTGTGATTTTTTTTTGTGCAAAGTTTAATAACCCTTGCAAAAATGCCCCCGAAAAAAAAGCCGCAAAAAGACAGCCATAAGAGAATAAAAATAACTGTAGAAATGAAACGTAAAATCATTGAAAAGCGAGAATGAGGTGTGAGCGCGGCTGATCTAGCACGCACATACAGTCGGTCTACATCAACGATTTGCACGATTTGGAGTTGCATTGTGTTTCACAGCAAGAAGTTGTGGAGGAGAGTTTGTCAGAGGAGGAGGAGGTAACAGCAAAGCAACAATCTTCTGGTGCAATAAGAGAAATGCTGAAAGCATGGGAAACTGTTGCATCGTACATTGAGAAGCATCACCCTAATAAGGCAGTGGCTGTGAGCGCTACAAATTTATTTAATGATAATACTGTGTCTCATTTTCACCAAATTTTGAAGCGTCAGCAAAAACAAATGTCTCGTAAAAACGATTAGATGTGTATCATAAATAATAAACTAATTATATCAACTTTTTTTTTGTTTTCTGCAAATCGAATTCGCATTCCAGGTTGGTTCATTCTGCATAGAAGAAAAGATGAAGATGATTCACGCTCCTTAACAATTATATATAATTTTCTTTGAATAAATGTTCTACATAAAATTTTTTTAGTATTTTTTTTTCGGCATGGAACACATTATCGTATTTTACATTAATTTATATGGGAAAAATTGTTTCACTTAACGAGTGTTTCGCATTACGAGTAAGATTCTGGAATGAATTATGCTTGTTAAGCGAGGTTCCACTGTATGTACCTTTGGTTTATGTGAATGCAGGAACTGCAATGATGATGGGCAGAAACACAGGAGAACAACAGTGTAGGTCATTTCCCAGTATAAGTGCTATAAATAGAAGAGGTGTCATGGTGCTCTCACAGATTGCATTGATTAGAGGTTGGCCCTTCCCCTTCCAGTGATCCAGTTCAGTTAATGGGGTAGAACTCTTTGGTCTCCATTCTGATTTGATTGAGTCTGAAAGATTAATTTTTTGCTGCATGTAATTCATGTATACTATATACTCTGCTTTGCATACTCACAGTCCAGTTGTGACATCCAATGCTAAAAGTAAAATGTACATGTTTCAGGAAGCTGTTCTAAATAATCATTTTTTATTTAAATGATTACAGCTGATGACGTCCACCTACTGCTAATGCAGCCATTGCATGCATACTCATAATCTCATACAGTGCCATTATGATTTTATGGTGTGTGTGGACATGTTGAGGTTTTCGTGGTGTTAAATTTTCATAACCGTGATACATAACCAAATGAGACAAAAACAGAAATGACATATTCTTCAAATTTGTTTTGTCAGAGTTTCATATGTGCAGCCCTTGGGAAGGGCAGATATTGAGACAACTGCATTTGAGAATTTTTGGTGTTGTGGATTCAGTAACTGCTGTAATCCTGTGTTTTAATGTTTAAACATGGTGTACATGTCCAGCAGCTCAATAAACTGCACCCTTTGTGTAGCGCCCCCCCCCAATATGAGTCAAGGACCGTAAATCCAGGAACTTATGAAATCGCCCTACCTCTCCTTATTGAACAATCTGAAAACTATTCATTTGGAGCATTTTGAACACAGTTGCTGCAAGGAGGCTGTACATCATCTTTCTGGAAAAAAAATAGCTTCAGCTTGTTTCATTGTGAAAAAATAAAATTCCCCAGCATATCTGTTTGGGCTGGTACAGAATGTTGTCTTGAACTCTACCACATTACAAGAAGTGAACATATAAACTATGCTAATGCATATTCTAAACATGTGTCATAATTTCTGTTTTTGTTTAAGTCTTTTTTTTTTTTTTAGTTTCATGGGGTGGGGTGAGACTGGGTTCGCTTGATGCATCAGCCACTAATTGGCCAATTGTGCCAGCCCCAGATCATAGATGAGTATGAGCATTTGGTGAAATGACAACTGGCAAGGGAAACCGAAGTACTCAGAGGAAATCTGCCCCAGTAGCACTTTGTCCACCACAGATTCCTCATAAATTGACCTGGGATCAAACCCGGGCTGCTGCAGTGGGAAGGTGGCAACTAATGGTATGCTATGGCCCGTACCTTTCATTCACTTTGTATTACATCAGGGCTATGCAAATATAACACTTTGAATGCTGAACATATTCTGTGGACACTGTATGATTGTATGTTAGAAGTATGGCACAACTGTAAAGAATATTTGGAGTTTTCTGGACACAGAAGATTGTAAGCATATTACAGTATTTAGAAAAGAAGCTGTAAATTCTTGCAGCTCTATCCTTGATTGTCTAAGGGTTAAGGAATCAGTACTTAGTATGCAAGTTAGGCCACACCATAGCTCAAGGGGTTAGTCGCTGGCTTCCCACCGCGGCGGTCCGGGTTCGATCCCGGGTCTGGTCAAGTGGGATTTGTGGTGGACAAAGTGGTGCTGGAGCAAGATTTCTCCAAGTACTTCGGTTTCCCCTGCCCATCTTCATTCCACCAATTGCTCCACAATCACCCTCACCTATCATCTGGGGCTGGTACAGTAGTCCAGAAGTGGCCACAGTACAAAGGGCTTAGTCCCACCCCACTAGCAATAAAAAAAGTAGTATGCAAGTTGGTTCATAGGCTCCTTATTCTCAGGCTGAATATGTTGTATAAATTGGAAATGACATGAGCTACATGCATAAAAAATAACATGTACAATTTTTCTGTTTTTTTAAATCAGCCATCATGGCGTCATCTGCCACATATGGGCAACCAGTCAATGATTGCTTATCGAGAGTCAGATATTTATTTTACCTGGAACCAGGGGGAAGGACAAGGAGACACAGATACATGGCCACGCAGCTGTGGCTATGTGAGAGAGGGAGAAGATGAAGGTGAATGCTCATTTAGTTTAAAACTAGAAATGTATTTTATGATGATCTCAGTAGCTCAGACTGAATAGTGCCAACAAATGAGAAACAAGATGATTATCATTTGTATTCTGGATAGAATATGGGAGTGGTGATGGCCCATTTTAATCTTTTGCCCATTCTGGCATAATAAAATTAAACGGTTTTTGCTTCAAGTGTAAAATGTCATAAAACCTTGTTAAAATTTAAAAACCTGAGGAATAAGTAGGTAGGTAGCAACATACACAAANTGTATACATTTCCAGGTATTGATACAATTCTGCTCTAACTAATTTGAACGGAGGGTGAAGCATTCCATTCTGAGATCCATAAACCCATTAATTCTCTTTGGAATAAGGAAGAATTGCCTGAGCAATGGAAGGAATCCATCATTGTGTCGCTTTACAAGAAAGGTGATTTAATTTTTTTAATTTTTTATTTTATTTCTGTTGATCCATACTAGTACAACCATTGGATATAGAAAAGTCAAAAATGAAATACAAGACAGTACAATATTAATAATAGTAAGACATGCAATCATTAACCCTTCAGTGACGGGCTTCGTACGTGGCACGCCAGTGGATTCTGTCACATGTCGCCAGGGTCCATACCACGCACCCTTAATGCGGCTCTAAGTTTCAGCTCGTATTTTGAACCGTTGTATTTCATGCAAAGTAATTCTTTTGGTATGAAATTAAAGGGAAAATTTCAGGCTATCATTTCGTATATTCGTGGTCCCACTTTGAACTTCTTGCGGGAGTTGTAATACATTTGAATTCTTCAAAATAGTTTTCTATTTCAACACTTTGTGCGCTTGTTACCATACAAACCTATCTCTGCCTAGGGGAATTCTTATGAAGTAATTATGTTAGAACGATACTATGTGCTGTCCAGCAACTGATTGAATGAAAGGTCAATTCTCTTAAGGCATGTTCTGAACTGTGCTGCTTCAACATTGGTATTTGTAATTATGAGAAGACACTTCTGTGACTTTGAGATGTGATGTTGATTCTAAGAAGTGTGTTATTGAATTGAATTTATTTACATTCTATAAATCCTAAGAAGGTTAGTACCTTTGGATACAGAACAAGTCAAAAGGTTACATACATAAGTACAGGCAATTTTAGCTTAAAAATTAATATAACTTAATTTTACATCATTCTCTATTTACATTGAAGTATTCATCTAAAGAGTAGAAGGAATGAGAATGTAGATAATTCTTTAACACTGATTTAAACTTTTTAGTATCATTGCCCAAGTTTTTAATACTTTGTGGCAGATTGTTGAACACTTTTATGCCAGTAAAGTAGACTCCTTTTTGATATACTGATAAAGTTGATGAGGGTAGGTGGAAGTTATATTTTTGTGTAGTATGCTAGACTGCTACAGTAGCAAGCGATAAACAGTTCACTATGATAACACTGTAATTCCCCTTTGTTCTATAAATACGCATCATGCAGTCTGGTTAGCCAAGGCCAGAAGGAACACAGTGGCCAGCTGTGTTGTGTCATGCCCAGTGGAGAATATATTTACTTCAAACTGAATCAGAACAAAGTTTTATCAGATTTGGAATTAGACGCTGAAAATGGATGTTTGTGCTTTTCTTGATTCTGTGGTAAATGACAGAATCGAGAAAAGCACAAATATCCATTGGGAGAATATGCAAAACTATAAGGGATAAAAGGAAAATTTCTGAATATGATGATAATATTGTGACATCACAATAATCTGTCCACACTGTTGTGGGGTTTCACGGTTTATAACCCTATTCGCAAATCAGTTCACTCTATCTTCAGTAGGCTACACGTATTCACAGTACGGGAGCTATACAAGTGTCTCTGTCTCACACGCTCTCAATTACACAGTTACACACACGTCCGGTTCTTCTTTCCGTGACGGCTGCTATATTCCAACTGTAGTCTGCTGACTGGATAACTGTTGATCACACACTCGCTCGTAGGCTTGCTTGGAAATAACTCGGAACTGAACTCGGCGATGGCCACATTACAACTCATCTTGCAGGCAGCGCAGCTCTCTTATATAGGGGCTGTGTGGGCCTGTTACGTAGCAATGCTGTTACCTCACGCCGTCTTATGTCACCGCGTGTTGCGCGTTACATTACCGTGCGGAGGGGGGAGGGGAGCGCTGACTCATCCGCCACGTCACTGTGGCCTGAGTTGCCACGTTGCTGCTGGGTAGGGAGGGGTTCTCTGTTGCGCAACATGTCACAATATGTAGGAATAACACAAGGAAAAGAATAGATCAATTGTCAATCAGAATTCAGTTAATTGAGGGACTCTCTGTGAAATATGCAAATGCTGTAGAACACAAAGTGCCGGGTCGACATTCGTGAAACAGATCAGTGCCCCGTTTAAGAGAAAGAAATTTTATAAGCAAGATTCCACCAACTGCCCAGAAATCAAAATCACAGAAATGGTGTGTTGTGTGTCTAATCTGTGTACTGGTGTGATGCGTGTGACTTGGGACTCTGTGTGGAATGTTTTCACGATTAACACACCCAGCTGAATTTCTAAGGTAATATGATACTATCATTCATAATTTTTATAGGCTTACTATGCCAAAAAACAGTTTTAAAGCAGTGTGGATCAAGACACCAATTCTTTATACATTTCTGAACGTGTGAAAATTAGAAAAACAAAACTCCAGTTTTTCCCAATTTATTACACTTTTAAGTGAAATGTTGCACTCTCTGGTTTAAAATATCCTCTGGCATAGAAGTTGAGTAGGAATTTAAATGCCCACCAGCAGTGAAGGGTTAAAAGATTTTATCAAAAAGAAGATAATAGAACACTGTAAATATTGATTTGTGGGATTTGTGGTGGACAAAGTGGCGCTGGGGCAGGTTTCTCTGAGTACTTCAGTTTCCCCTGCCAATCTTCATTCCACCAATTGCTCCACAATCACCTTCACCTATCATCTTGGGCTGGTACAATAGGCCAGAAGTGGCCACAGTACAAGGGACTTAGTCCCACCCCACTAGCAATAAAATAAAATAATACACTAGGATGCTAGAGGTAGTATATTTAAAATTTTTAAAAATTTTCTGCAGGAATCACTGGGTCTTGCTTCCATTAGTATTCTAACCATTCGCTGTTGGAGTTTGAAAATATTCGTAATGTGGGAAGAAGTTCCCCTGAAAATTAATCTGTATGTTATAATGGAATGAAAATAAGTGTGATGTATTATCTTTAGGGAATTTAATAATAAGAAAGGTCTGATTGCTCTTGCAATATAACATGCTTTGTTTAATTTGAAAGCCAACATATCGGTGTGACTCTTCCAAGACATAGTATTGTGAAGTACTAGCCCAAGAAACTTTAGTTCGGTAGTATTGGCAATAATTTTGTTGTTATATTTAATTTGTATTTCGGAATTAATAATATATTTAGAGTCGAATCCCATACAATAGGTTTTGTCCAGATTTAGTGAGAGTAAATTTGCCTTAAACCATTTCATCACACAAGTGACGACTGACTTCAAGTTATTTCCAAGTACAGTATTGTTTAGATTACTGACGATTACGCTAGTATCATCTGCAAATAAAATTGTTTGGGAGTTTACATTAACATTCAGAAATTTTACAGATAAAGGTACGTCATTGATATATAGTAGGAAAAGTAATGGTCCCAGGATAGATCCCTGGGGAACACCATGTTTAACCAGACCCCAATCTGATTTGCTCTTATCAAAGGGTCCCATTTTTAATTACCAATCTTTGATATCAGTTTTGGAAATATGATTTTAATAACATATACATTGTCAGTTATACCATAAAATTCAAGTTCATGTAAAAGTATTTCGTGATTTATGCAATCAAAAGCCTTCTCCAAATCGAAGAACATTGCACCTACTTTTTTTTTTATTGTTAATAGCTGCTAAAGCTGTATTTATTAAGTTACATGAAGCTGTTTCAGCGGATAATTTGCGACGAAACCCAAATTGTTCATTGGCTAGAATGTCATAAGTGTGAACATGTGTCAATAATCTTCTAAATATTATTTTTTTAAACACCTTGGAAAATGAAGTTAACAGTGAAATTGGTCTATAATTTGCACAGTTCTTCTTATCACGTTTCTTGTATATAGGAGTTACAATCAAGTATTTCATACGTAAGGGGAATTTACCAGCTAAGACTGCCTTATTGAATATATAGTATAAAGGGGAAGAAATGTATGGGGCACTGATTTTTAGTGTCTTCATCAAAATCTCATGATATCCAGAAGAATTTTTTGAACATAAAGAACAGATAACTTTTTCAGTTTCTTTAGTTGTTATTTTATTGAATATTATATTGGGAAAGGGGCCCTTAGGTGTCAAGTTCAGATAATGCTTGTAGTTATTATTATTATCAGTATTTAAGGCAATTTGAATAGAATTTTTTGAGCAATATTATCAGCAATATTTAAAAAACTATTATTAAAGATACGAGTACTTGGGTTTATTTTCTCAGTTTTGCAGTTTTTGTCCTTCAGTCGGTTTTTACCTAACTCTGCTTTAATAATATTCCAAGTAGTTTTAATAGTATTATTAGTAAGTAAAGTAAAGCTATCCCTGTAACAGGCTGTAAAGGCCCATAGGGTTGTGAGACGAGGGTCCCACATTATCTAGACAATCGGCTCAAAGATGGCAGTAAGGTTGTCAGCCTTACGCACCGGCCGTGCTTTACTCCCCAGGAAAATTATTTAATTAATTCCTGGTACTCATTTCTGTTAGAGGCTGAGTCGATCCCAGGGCCATAGTGCGGCTGGAAGGATTAGGTCAATTGAAAAAGTCCAATGATCTCATTGGGACATGAACCCGCAACCTTCCTGCAACCTGCAACCTCAACCAACTATGCTACTGCATGCCCCTTTAATAATATCATTGGGGTTGGTAATTTTAACATTATAACTGAGTCTTTTTGCCTCATTAATCACCTTAGTCAGGATCTTACTATATGATTTATAATATTGCTTTATTTTATT